TTTCTTTCTCCAGTGCTTTCTTTCTTTCTCAGGATGAACCAAACTGTAGATTTTGCCACTCCTAATATTGTAGTAATTTCTCAGATGTTTTTTTCTGTTTTTGCAGCTTAAGGATGGCTTGTTTCACCTGCATGGAGAGCTCCTGTCTGCATGTTTTCTTCACAGCAAAACCTTCCAAATGAAGCACCTCACCTCAAATCAACTCCAGGCCTTTTATCTGCTTCATTGAGAATGACGTAATGAAGGGATTGCCCACACCTGTCCATGAAATTGCCTTGGAGTCAATTGTCCAATTACTTTTGGTCCCTTTAAAAACAGGGTGGGACATGTTAAGGAGCTGAAACTCCTAAACCCTTCATCCAGTTTTAATGTGGATACCCTCAAATGAAAGCTGAATGTCTGGACTTTATGTCCATGTACATTATATAACTATAACTTGAATATGTTTCAGTAAACAGGTAAAAAGACAACATTTGTGTCCAAATATATATGGACCTAACTTTACTTATCATTTTGGGARGGCGTTTTCAAATGCATCCTGCAACCTAAAGGACACTAGACGCTCCTCATTCCCTGACCCACAGTGGTTCATTGTTTGTAGCGCAGTGTTAGCATTAGCAACACTGGGGGGGCTAATGTTGCTTAGCAACGGTGGCTTGTGAAGTCCAAAAAGACACGTTTCCTGTAGTTGGTTCGGTTCAAGGCCGGTCTGTATTCACACCAGAACTGAACCGCACCAGAGTTAGTTTGGAAGTGGACCCAGACCACCTCAAAAATGGGTCTCGTCTGGTTCTTTGAGTGTTCACATGAGTGTATTCACACCTGCATAAAAGGTCCGGACCACCGGGAGAAACAAACTCTGMTCCATTTAAAGATGGAAAATGTAAATGATTTTGAGCTTTTATTTTGAAGGGCTGTTTGGATGTTGATGTTGCTGTTTAAACTGAGTGGATGTGTGTTCCTGCAGGGATCGAGTGGTGGCCGTCTTCGTGCAGGGACCTGCCTGGCAGTTTAAAGGCTGGCCGTGGCTGCTGCCCGACGGATCGCCTGTCGACATTTTTGCCAAAAGTGAGTTAKGCTACGAAGCTGAGAGATAAACTGACGTCTAAAACAACGGAAGTCTTTAAAGTTTAAAGCGCCACATGCTGTTCTTTGGTCCCTCTTTGTAGATTTTATCATAAAGATCTTCATAACCACAACAGAAAAGACTAGATTTGATAGTTTTCTTTCAAAAATAAATATTTCTCACAGCACAAGGAGCTAGTAATTTGTTAGCCACATAATTAATCCAACCTCTAGCCATACAGTCACCAGAAAATGAATGAATTATTATTTTTAGTAGGGCTGTACGGTATATGCGGTAGACGGTAGAAACGGTATGAAGATGGCCTGCGGTAGAAATTTATACTCTACCGTCCTATCGTCGTTATGTCAACTGAGCAGGAGTTCAAAATATAATGAAGAAATTATAGCGTTTTAAAACACATACAGAGAGGATAAATCCTCAAAATATCCTCCTCCCGCTGTAGAAATGTTATGTTATGTCGCGGGACCTTTTCCTCCTCCCTCTCTTTTCCTCTCGTCTCGCTGCACGTCGCTCAGAGCAAAACTTTTAACAACTGTAGTTTTTCACAACCAATTGTCGGAGAATGTATGAACTGAATGAATGAGAATTGTATGAATGTGAATTATGTATTCTTATCCAGAGAGATGATTAAAAAAATACGTGGACATTCGTTCAGTCATAAATCCATCTTGCTAATGTAAAGTCGGCTTCTGCTCTGATGATGAT